CTTCGCCTGCCCAAGGGTGAGCTTCCCTCTCTTCCTGCACTTCCTTCTGTACCTAAGGGCCTAGGAGACTCCGTTACAGTTTTGCGGCCCATATGTTCGTGGACTAGGAGTCGAGAGAGCTTCATGTCCTCCTTGCAGAATGTCTCTCACTCCTTTCGAAGTTTCTTCAGGAGAATGAGATGTAAACTACTGCAGAGCAGAGCTTAGAAAAACCTCCTGATTGTATCAAGATGCATTAGCAGGGCCAGCAGGTGGCATGGAGGATAAAGGTGCTGAATTCCACATTCAGATATGCAGTTTGTGTCTCAGATCCGCAGGTGCATGTGTCTGTGTGCCCCAAATCCTGAGAGAATGGAGGAGAAGGGATTTCAGCCTGGCCATGCCCCGGGGGTGGGGGGTGGGGTGGTGATTTCTCACTTTCCCACTCTGGTGAGCACACATGCCCTATAACAAAAATCTTAAAAAACAAAAAACAAACCCAAACTGACCCTATTCTCCAAGAGTATTATCTAATGAAAGTATAAAAACAAAAGGCACAAAGGAAACGATGAGTATAGTAATGCAGGTGACAGTAACAGCTCCGTGAAGGGTAAGTGGGACAGGGAAAGTGAGCCGGCCCTGTCACAAGGAAGGGGACCCAGAGGACGTGGGTTTTCTTTCTTTCCTTCGGAGCACATCTTTCTAGTTTTGTAAGTAGGAGAAGATGAGGGGCAGAATGAGTGGAGGGAAGAAAATGCCCCTGGCAACAATGCCAGAATGAGACAAATCCAGGGCCAGGAGGGGAGGTGCGGCCTTTCCCATTCCCACTCATCCTGCCATCTTTGTACGGAGGGAATGTGAGGGCTTAGCCCTACAGACCCGGTGGCAAGGTTTGGGGAAATGGGTTCAGATGAATAGGAAGGAAATAAGAGGGAGTCCAAGGGTACCACAGGATTAAAATCAGCACAGTAGGGCCGGGCTGAGTATTAAGGAGACACAAGCTCCCCTCCTTCCACAGCGCTCGCTGGAAACGCCTGTGGGGTACCCTGGTCTGGCCGGCCTAGGTTCTTTCTAGTCCAGAGCACAGATCTCACTTTTGGCCACCTTACGCCCTAGGAGTTCCAGGGCTAGCTCCTCAGGACTCAGGGGGAAGACAGAGACTAGAAGCTTTTTCTTTCTTCTCAATAACTTTACTATCCTTTGGGAGACTGGCTGCCGGGTGACAGAAAAGAATGACCCTGGTGGGATTTTCCAGCTTGAGTTTTGTTTGTAAGGGTTGCCCGGAAAGCCAGAGGCCTGAGCAAACGAGGTGCTACCCAGCGCGAGTGCAAAGGGATAAGGATTTCTCTCCCAGCAAAGAGCGTGCCTGCCCTAGCTGACTCGGGAGACCAGCTGGCTGGCCGAGTAGGCCCTGCAACCTAGGTGGCGCTATTTCTCTACTTTTTAGGTCAAGTTCCTGCAGGAACTTCCTCGAGGTCTCAAGTCCTGCTCTTGGTTTGCTGGCTTGCTCGTGTAAACCACCTTATATTATTTTTTTTTCTAAAAATACTCCAAAGCAATTGAAAGAGTCCCCTCTCCCACCAGCCAGCCCTGGCCCCAGCCCCGGCCCCGGGGAGCGGGCGGGTAGGCGGGGAGGTGGGCCACTGCTTTATTAAACACAGGGAAAACTAATATTTACGGAATAAAATTTATGGAGCAGCCACGAGAATTCGACCCTTTTATGTGCATGTGGATGGGGGTTGGGCCAGGCTGGGGGCCTCAGGGAGGGGCCCAAGCCAGGGGGCAGGGCTGGAATATAGCCTGGCTAGGCCAATTTGTCAAAGCAGGGATTTCCCTGGAGTTGCCCTGGGATGAATGATTCTCAACCACCACCCCTAGCTTTGGGGGGTAAGGGCTTCAGGGCAAGAATGCCTGAGGCAAAGCCTCTGGCAGCCATGTTTCTCTCCAAGGATGTGTTTAAGCCATGCTCCCATGGAGGCCGCAACCTTTGGGAATAAAGGGGGCAGTGGACGAGGGGTTCATTGGCATGCTCTTTTTTTCTTTCTTAAAGGATTATTTTATTTAACTTTATTCATTTATTTATTTATTTTCATTTGACTAGAGAGGGACAGATAGAGAGTGTGAGAGTTTGAGAAAGAGAGAGAGAGGAGAGAGAGGGAAAGTGAGAAAGCAAGCTGCCAGGTCTGGGACTTGAACCATGGTCAGCCATGTGAAAGTCCAATGCCCCTAACCACCACACCACCTGCTGGCCCTGGCATACTCTTTTTTTAAAAGTCATACATTCTTTTGAGAACATGAACAAAGGTCTAGTCTTAGGATTTTACCTGCAATTGTAGGGGATTCCCAAGTCCCTGGTCCTCCCTGCCCCCCCCCATGATTAAAAATCCCTGCTCTTGAGACTATGCTACTAGAGCAAAGGGATTATACGGGGTGCAGGACCCATATTTTCTCTAAACTTGCTGGGGAACCACTTCCATTTGCCATGGGGTCTCAACCTTGTGGACAGTGCAATCTGGCTGTCTAGATACGTCAAAAAGAAACTGAAGAACAAAACGAGCCAGCACACTGGGTTTTACACGGTACCCAGTTCACTTTGATGATGGCCACTACCATGGGGCACCCCCGGGGGTCCTGCGGCCTAAAGAATGGTTATCAGCAGCCATTAGGAAGAAGCCCTGGTGGAGCTCAGACTCTGCTAGCAGGAAGAGGCACCAGAGAGGCACCAGGCAGTCCCGGAGTCCTGGAGGACTTAAGAGTTCTTGGGGAGAGAGCACCCTATTGAGTGAAGGTGGGGTTACTGGACAAGGATGGGTGCAGTGGGAGACTGGCAAGAAGGACCGAGCATATTCCTTTCCTGGAAATGTTTTCATTTCCTGGAAAATGTCTTTAGTAATGTATATAATAATGCCGTTAAGAACCTGGCTGTCTGGGTTCAAAATCTGGCTGTCACTTACTGGCTGTGTAACCTTTGATAAGTCAGTCACTTTAAGATTTCCTAGTGGTTTAGTATCTTTTTCATACGATGCTGTGAGGCTTCAATGTTATGCACTTATTAAAGTATCTGGTATATTTATACTGCTCAATAAATTTTATTGTTCTTCTTATAATAATTATTTTATTACTGTTTGGATTGTCCTGTTCCCATGATTAGACATCAGAACAGAAACACCAGTCCCAGATAGACAGGATATGTATTGTTTTTTTTAAAAAAAATTAATTTTATTTTATTTATTACTATTATTTTATTTATTTTCTTTAGAAGTTTCTGCCTTAGGGCACATGTGCTTGCCAGACAGAGAAACAGAGACAGTGAGAAGGAAAGTGAGAAATCAACCCCCAAGGTGATGGCCATACCACAATCCCTTCTCCTCCATTCTCCTCTCAGGATCTTGGGCACACACATACCCAGTGTGATTTTCAAGTAACCAGGTCCAGATTTGAACTATGGTTGACCATGTAGGAGTCCAGAGACATACCATTGTATTATCTGCTAGCCCCTATTTATTATTATTAGTTTGCTATAGGGCATGTGTGCTCACCAGAGAAAGACAGAGAGAGACAGGAAAAGTAAGAAAGCAAGCCATCAGGTCCAGGACTAGAACCATGGTCAACCTTGTGGGAGTCCAGCACCCTAACTTCATGCCACCTGATGGCCCTGATTTTTTTTTTTTTAATTTTTGCTACAAGATGCATGTACTTGCCAGAGAAAGAGAGAGGAAGAGAGAGAGAGAGAGAAATAGAAAGTGAGAAATACCCTCCCACACACACCAGGGGATGGCCACGGCGCAGTCCCTTCTTCTTCATTCTCCTCTGAGATTCTGGGCATGCATGCACACTGCCTGGTATGATTATCAAGCTGCCGGGCCCAGGATTTGAACCAGAAAGCTGGCCATGTGGGATCCAGCGCCTTATCAGTGAAAAGGTATCTGACCATCAAAAGTAACTTGGGTGATGGAAAAGTCATGTCGTAGTTTCTATGTTCTTTGCGAAAACATGCCATGACTTTTTAGGTGACCCAATACATCAGAAAAGGTTCTGGATTGGGCTGCTGACCCCTCTGCTATCTACAGTCCCCAGTGGACATCGGAGCTCTACATTAATTCCTACGTCTCCCAGGTGAAGTTCCAGATGGTGTGAGCTAGAGTGGAACAGAGGAGGGCGAGGGACTCTGCTAACCCTCTGGTGCCACCGGGCTGCCTCTCTAGCCTTCTGCGATCCTGTCTGTCTCATGCAACCCTCACGTTTTTCCCTGTTAGGCACAATTGGTCGTTCAGGTCAGTTCTGTTGTCCCAGGAAATTCCTGTGGTCATTTTCTGTTTCCTGTCATCCTTTCCTATCTTTCCTAGTTCTTCCAGTTACTATGTTATTTAAAGCAGAGTGGAGAATGAGGAAGTAGAATTCCTTTTTCTCCCACCCCAGTGGGAACCTACCTTAGCCTCAGAGCTCAAAGGTCTTTGTCATTTCAGTCCCACAGTGTGGCCCGACCTGTTGCCTATGCCTTGGAAACAGACAGGAAAACACATCCACATTTGGCAAAGGAGAGCAGCAGTTATCTGTCTGTCTTTTGCCCACTGTGGAAAGAGTTCAAAGTTTCCAAATGGAGGCTTAGCTCAGGCCACAGCAGAGAAACTGAAGAACTGAAAGGGGCCAACGCTGTAGCATAGTGGTTAAACCCTGTGCGTATGGAGCTGAATCCCACATGATCAACTGTGGTTCGAGTCCCAGCACCACTAGCTTGAAAAACGTAACAGGTGCATGTGTGCCTCATATCCTGATGGGATGGAGATGGGGGGGGGAAGAATTGCAGTGTGACCAGGCTTCATCGGGGGTGAGTATATATGCCCTCCGGCATTAAGTGAAAAAGAGAAGAAGAAGAAGGAGAAGAAGAAGTAGAAGAAGAAATTGAAGGACTGAACTGAGGGAATAGACTTCATCCACAGATAATAATGGGGAGGGACCCAGTGACAGGAGGTGGGTTGTGAGTTATGAATTCCACAGAATAAGTCATCTCAAAAGCAGGGGAATAGGAGAGCTTTTTTATTCCTTGTGAAAAGAGAAGTGAGCGCCTCAAGACCATCTGGAACTGGCTAGGGACTCTTGGGAAGGGTAGATGAGACTTCCCAAGCATGTTGCACCTTTTCCTTGACTTGCCTTTTGCACCTAAAGCCCATGGTAGAGTCCTGGGTCTAGAGACCCTCTGCCACAAGAGGGAAGGGTATGGGATTGCCAGAGACAGCTTCCACATGGATAGGGAAGGCCAATGGCCAGTGGGTGGGAGTCAAGCTTCCTTGGGTCAACAGTCCCCATTCAGGTGGCCTGCCATCACAGTAGGCCTGGGCCTGTACAACTTGTGTGGCAGAGACAGCGCTGCTGTGTGATTGAAGGTGATGCATCAAAGGTATTCTCCAAGTCCATCCTCAGCAGCTGAGACCAGGACAGGGAGTTAACCTGTCAGTTAAAGAGCCCCCGGGGCTTCTTCCTCTTGACCTTTGATAGCTGAGATCTCTGCATCGAGCCTGAAGTATCCTGGAAAGAAAGGAACCCAAATTAACAGGGGCTTTGAACAGTTCCACTTACATATGGAAAGGAACTTTCTTCCTCTCACGGCTCCTGGTTAGAGTGAGGCCTCCTGCAGTGTCTGACACAGGTACTTTGAGGTCATGTCAGGCAGTAAACGTGGCATCAGTCCTCCAAGGAACGACCTCGCAGATCATCACTGAGAATGGGACACAGTGAAAAAGGAGCTGAAGTCCGTTACTCAGTACAAGAACTGCAGAGAGAAGACAGCAAGGGAAGACGTGGAGGACCCTGGCTCTCCATGAAGACATCCACAATTCGAAGTCTGGTCTCAAATATCCCTCAGCATTGCCGAGGCAGTGTTGCCTAGGTGGCAGTTCCAGTGACCCCTGGCTCAGGGGCTATTGGTGCCAACTCTACCCACTCTCAGAACACCACCCAGAAAGCTACTCATGACTCACTTTGGGCTCCTTCTCAGACTCTGAGAGGGATGGCGCTGAGGAGACCGGCTGTTCTGGCTGGCTCAGAAGGTGGCTCTCAATCTCCTGTGGGGAGGTGTTGCTCGAGGTCTGAGGCGCTCCTGAAATCAGAAGGTGCAGGAGTAGGTAGTGATAAATGCCTCCCTCCTGCCAGGAAGACATTGGCATTTGCCAAGCATTCTGTAAAGGCCAAGGTTTGGTCCTACTCTGTAAAAAGACAAAAGCAGCCACAAATCCACCTTCCGACTGACTTTCAGAAAGCCTTGTCTCTACTAGGAAGATCGCCAGGCCCACTTTCAGCAGGCAGGAGGGAGGTTTCTTGAACTTACATAGCCAACTGTTCTACACCTTCCCCGCATGTCTCAGTAGAGAGCAATCCCTCCCCTGCTAACCCTGCCAGGTACCTGGACCAGTGCCATCTAACGAACCCTCTGCAGGGACAGAAACATTCTGCATACTGTCCAGCTTGGTGGCCAGGAGCCACACATAGGTACCGAGCACTAACAATGAGACTAGTGCAAATGAGGGAATGGATTTTTAACTTGATTTAATTTGGACTTGCATTTAAGTAGTCACACCTGGCTGGGGCTATCAGCGTGAATGACACAGCATGCACCTCGCTCTAATGGGAGGCAAATCAGGGACCTCTAGAACTCTCACCGGAGCCTTGATGCTTCCGCCGCACTTGGACCTCGTGCTCGGTGACGGCCATGTACAGACTCTGCAGGTTCATGATGAAGGGCTTTCCATCAGCTATGCTGCAAGCCTCTGGTAGTTTCTGCAGAGCAGAGAAAATACGGTCATACAGTTACACTGAATAGCCAAAGAAAAGGGCCTCAACCCCACATGAATTTATGTTCAGTAGCTAGATCCACAGAGGGCATCCACCTGAGCCTGGTGAGACCCACATAGAGACTTTCAGGGAGCTCTGCTCCTCGGGAAGGCAACCCAAGCACAGGCTCTATTTCCCCCAGTCCTCAGGTCTATCACGTTTTCTTGTGAATACCACATAGGTCTCTAGGCTTTCTTCCAAGGGGTGACCTCTTAGAGAGCTGTTTTAGAAAACCATCTTCTCTAAGTCATACCTGGGCTGTACAAATTACTAAAATAATTCAACTAGTCCCCAAATTTCACATTACAGACAGAAAAAGGATAAAATCCAGTACAGGAGAGAGAGCCAAGTGGGAATGATAGACTAAGAAGGAAAAAGTTATGAAGCCAAGATGCTCAGTCAGAGGAGATGGCAGAATGAAACTGACAGAGATCCCGAGGCCTGCCTGCCATTCTACCTTCCCTGCTGCAATCCCACCGTGCTTCACTATAACTCACACGCTCTCAATGCGATGGTATTTCCCCAAAGGGCATGAAAACTGGTTTGGGAAATGTGGAAATTACTCTTTTTTAAGACAAAAGCATGGAAAGACACATAGTACAGAAACAGATTTTTAGTTTACCTGTGGCATTAAATTTCTTCCTTTTGGGCCAGCAGGTGGTATAGTGGTTAAGGTGCTATACTCCCACATGGCTGACTGCAGTTCAAATCCCAGGCCCGGTGGCTTGAAACTCTCACCAGGCCTCTGTGCCCAAAATCCCAAGAGAATAGAGAAGGCATTGTGGTGTGGACATTCCTCTGGGGGGGGAGGGTGATTTCTCACTTCCCCATTTACTGTCTCTCTGTCTCTTCGGTGAGTGCACATGCCCTATTGCAAAAAGAAAATCCTTAATTTTTTTCTTCCTTTTTTAAAATAAAATCTTGCTATGTAGTACGTACACTCACTGGAGAAACAGAGAGAAAGAGAGATAAAAAGTGAGAAATCACCCACTACGGGATGTCCACACAGAAATCTCCCCTTTTCCATTCTCCTCCCAGTATTTTGGGCACGTGTCCACACCTGGCATGCCTCTCAAGCCACTGGAACTGGAAATCAAGCCACACGGTTGACCATGTGCAATACAGCTACCTTAACCACCCAACCTTTGGCTGACCCCACCCCCCCATATTTTTCTTAACTTGCTAGAGGGCACAAGTGGTTGCCAGAGCAGGTCAAAGAAAGAGAGAGGGAAAGTGAGAATGCACCCCCTATGGGACACGATCATGCAGCCATCCTTTCTCCCACCTCCTTTCAGGATTTTGAGGACACATGCACATACACCTGGCATGTTTTTCAAGTCCACTAGGTCCAGGACTCAAACCATACAGCCAGCCATGTGAGATCTAGCCACCTTAACCACCAGACCACTGGCTGCCTTGTCATAAAAATTTCCTGAGAGGGGTTGATTAAAAAAAAAAGTTTAGGGACCAGCAGTTTGTGTAATAGCTATGTCACTGGACTCCCATGTAGTTGACTGCGGTTCGAGTCCCGGACCCGGTGGCTTAAAACTCACGCCGGGCGTGTGTGCGTGCGTGCCCAAGATCCCGAGAGGAGAATGGAGGAGAAGGGATTGCAGCATTGCCATACTCCCTGGGGGGTGATTTCTCGCTTTCTGTCTCTATGTCTCTCTCTCTCTCTGTCTGTCTGGCGAGCGCACGTGCCCTATAGCAAAAACCTCTCAAAAAAAAAAGTTTAAAAATATTCTTTAGGAAGATGACAACTTTTTAAAAGAATTATCTATTTTTTTTTCAAAGAATTATTGTACTTATTGTTATTTTAATTTTAAAAATTTGACCAGAGACCTACAGAGAGAAAGAAAGAGAGAAAGCAAATCACCAGGCCTGGGACTCAAACTGCAGTTGGCCATGTGAGAGTCCAGTGTCCCAATCACCACGTCACCTGCTGGTCCCACGGTTATTATTTTTATTTTTTTTTATTTGACCAGAGAGAGGGGGAAAGTGAGAAAGCAAGCCACCAGGTCCAGGACTTGAACGGCAGTTGATCACGTGGGAGTCCAGCGCCTCAACCACCATGCTACCTGCTGGCCCCAAGATGAAACTTTCTAAAAAGCTGAGAAACACTGCTATTTACATTATGTTCATCTGTTTCCTTCATTACCAAATGAATTATAGATTTATATCCACAGCAAAATGCTTTGCTGAGTTCTATCGATAGTTTCACCGACCCAGCTGACCTGAGTCAAAGTAACGGCTGAAGACTGAACAAAGTACAATCGAAAGCGATGAAAGAGTATGATGGCCAGTGCTCCCCAACCTGGCTGCACTCCAGCATCTGGGAGAGGGCCCAGAACGGCCTCATCTGTCCCTGTGCATGTTAATTGTCGTGGTTCCCAGCCAAGCTCACAGGTCCCCAGAGGAGCTGTGCCAGCAGCTCGCATGGGGACCAGCTCAGGAATCCCGGACTGGCCCACATCTCATGTCAAGGGCACCTTTCTGTGCTATAAGGACATTCATTTTTGCAAACCACCTGTGGAGAAGAATGAAAGAAAAAGCGTAAGAAACCGTGAAGTAGGTGCTTACCAAGGTCAGGGTTATGTAGTCATTTCCCGTGAGTGTGGTAGCTGAGAAACGCCCCGATCCCCAGGACATGTAACACCCATACCTACTGCAGCCTACTCTCCTAAAGACTATCTCAGGCTTGGACTTCCACTGGAAACCACGGAAACGAGTAAGTGGTCTTGAGTCCACGGTTTGCCTCTAGCCGGTCCTCGCCCCAGGAGTGTAACGGCCCCTCGGCAGATTCCCAGAGGAATGAACTGAAGAGGGAAGGCAAACTTTCAGCCCCACATTTCTGACATACTCCAACCCACCTGCTCTAAAAGAAGGTCTCCTTCTAGCCAGAGAGTGGAAAGGCAGTCGTTCTCTTTCCTACATCTCGAGACTATAGGAGCCCCTCTGGGTTTTGCTCAAGAAATGTGGCCTCTCTTAGGCCGTTACCCTCAGCTGGTAGGCCCAGGGCTGGCTGCACAGAGGGGTAGGCAGAACCCAGGCGGTCCGGCGTCATTTCCTCTGCCCTTTCTGTGGAATCAGACAGACTCATACATTTTCCAGAGTGATCTTTACCCAGCTCATGGATTTAACTTCAAAACGAAGTGCCAGAAATACAAGGCCATTAAAGTCGGTGCTGCCCTAGACCTAAGTCCAAATCGAGAACCTAACGTAGCCCTTCCTCCGTCCTTCCCCGTCTCAGAGAGATCTCATCCTGCGGTCGCTGCTAAAGGTTGCCCCGCCCGAGGAGCTATTCTCAGAAAAGTACTACAAACAGAATATTGCTATATTTGCCAAGTACTTACTACGTGCTAGGCACTGTTTTAAGTACTTTATTTACTTTATTTTTTAATTCGTTATAGGGCACATGCACTCACCAGAGAGAAAGAGACAGACAGACAGAGGAAGAGTGAGAGGTTACACCCCGGGGGGATCTCACCAGAGAGAAAGAGACAGACAGAGAGAGGAAGAGTGAGAGGGTACACCCTGGGGGGGAGGGAGGGGGTGCTGGTCACACAGCAACCCCTTCTCCTCCATTCTCTTCTTGGGATTCTGGGCACACGTGCTCAGAGTGTTTCCCAGGCCGCTGGGTCCAGGCCTCAGACCACTCAGCTGGGCCATCTCATGTCAAGGGCACCTTTCTGTGCTATAAGGACATTCATTTTTGCAAACCACCTGTGGAGAAGAATGAAAGAAAAAGCGTAAGAAACCGTGAAGTAGGTGCTTACCAAGGTCAGGGTTATGTAGTCATTTCCCGTGAGTGTGGTAGCTGAGAAACGCCCCGATCCCCAGGACATGTAACACCCATACCTACTGCAGCCTACTCTCCTAAAGACTATCTCAGGCTTGGACTTCCACTGGAAACCACGGAAACGAGTAAGTGGTCTTGAGTCCACGGTTTGCCTCTAGCCGGTCCTCGCCCCAGGAGTGTAACGGCCCCTCGGCAGATTCCCAGAGGAATGAACTGAAGAGGGAAGGCAAACTTTCAGCCCCACATTTCTGACATACTCCAACCCACCTGCTCTAAAAGAAGGTCTCCTTCTAGCCAGAGAGTGGAAAGGCAGTCGTTCTCTTTCCTACATCTCGAGACTATAGGAGCCCCTCTGGGTTTTGCTCAAGAAATGTGGCCTCTCTTAGGCCGTTACCCTCAGCTGGTAGGCCCAGGGCTGGCTGCACAGAGGGGTAGGCAGAACCCAGGCGGTCCGGCGTCATTTCCTCTGCCCTTTCTGTGGAATCAGACAGACTCATACATTTTCCAGAGTGATCTTTACCCAGCTCATGGATTTAACTTCAAAACGAAGTGCCAGAAATACAAGGCCATTAAAGTCGGTGCTGCCCTAGACCTAAGTCCAAATCGAGAACCTAACGTAGCCCTTCCTCCGTCCTTCCCCGTCTCAGAGAGATCTCATCCTGCGGTCGCTGCTAAAGGTTGCCCCGCCCGAGGAGCTATTCTCAGAAAAGTACTACAAACAGAATATTGCTATATTTGCCAAGTACTTACTACGTGCTAGGCACTGTTTTAAGTACTTTATTTACTTTATTTTTTAATTCGTTATAGGGCACATGCACTCACCAGAGAGAAAGAGACAGACAGAGAGAGGAAGAGTGAGAGGGTACACCCTGGGGGGGAGGGAGGGGGTGCTGGTCACACAGCAACCCCTTCTCCTCCATTCTCTTCTTGGGATTCTGGGCACACGTGCTCAGAGTGTTTCCCAGGCCGCTGGGTCCAGGCCTCAGACCACTCAGCTGGGCATGTGGGATCCAGCCGCCCTAAACACCACACCACCTGGCTGGTCCTCTAAGGACTTTAAAGATATTAAGCCATTTTTGTCTTACTTACTGCTAACTCCCCAGCGTCTAAAAGGACTCCTAGCCCATGACAGAGGCTCAATACCTAC